CAACAGCATGCGTAGACAAGTTCATTTGTGACGATAACTCACAAGAATATTACCAGTCCAAACCTCCAGGGCTAAAAAGAGATTTCACAGGAAAAGTCATCGACAGCAACATATGAAGATTAGAGGCTGACAAGGCTATTTACATATGGTATGTATCTTGTGTCACGATCTGGTGATGCAATGCCCAGCGCTTTAGTTTCCTTCGTCAGCAAGTCATAAAGATATAGTTTTCTGGCCAACTGAACCAACAGCTTGTTGCCAGAAGCAGCAACCACAGCCAGGTCAGACACAGGCCCACCCACCACTTCCACGTCGAGAACTACTCTTTGTTTCTCCGCCCACATCCTGGCATGGCTGCCCATTTGCATGGTATTACTGTGGGCATTATCTAATACTTGAACTGTTATTGACTGCCCATTAGGATAAGCTGAGCAAAGCTTTCCATTCATCGCTCCCAGAACACCATTTCCAAATTGATAGTCTTGGAGCATTTGTGATCTATCCTTTGTCAGATCATAAGCTAGAAGACCCCTTGATTTCCAGTAAACAACCCCATTCACATGAACCCCTGATTTTTTTGGCACAGAATATGAAGTAAAACAAATCTCTCCTGAAACTTTCCAGGATCCTTCTTTAGAGGAGTATATCTCAAATTCAGTTGCATCATCAAAGTCGGCAGATGGAAAGGCACAAACAAGCTTATAATCGGCCTCAAAGTTAAGCCGGGATGGTTCAAATACAAGCACAGTTGAAGGCTGTAAACCATGATTAGCATTTGGTTCTGGAAGTTTCTTCCACTGCTGGGTCACAGGATTGCAAATGTAGTAGGCTTTATTCCCAGTTCGAGAATGGCAGCAAATCAGTCCATTGGATGCTGACAAGATGTCAACTGGCTCAGGCAAAAATTTCAGAGAGGGGTCTGGTACACCACAAGCTTTTGGCTCATCAGAGACAAGTGATGGTGGTTCTCCAGATACCTGCCTAAAGAAACCTAAGGTCGAACCACAACAAATTGACTGATTATGGGCAAAGAATGGAGTTGATATCTGAAGTTTCCAGTCTTTACAAACACTCAAAAACCTGAAAAGTGATTTTGCAGGTAGAAAAGGAAGGGCATGTGCCCTTATAATTTCACTGAGATTCATATACATAGTGTTGTTCAGCATACCAAGGAATTTGCCTGGCTTTTTCCCACGATCCATTTTGTAATTAGATAAGTCCTCCATGATACTGCAGCCACTAATAGAATTTCATACCCAGCCAATTAACGATATATAGTGTAGAAAAAGATCATGATGAATGAAATAAGTCCTTTGTAGTTTGTGCTTCCTATCAGCTATGCTTTTAAGAAATGGTATTTAGAAGAATGTATGATCACAAAAGAATAAATAGAGGATATACACAAACATTAGAGGTGGCACTAACAGAACATAAATTCAGGGAAGGATGAGTTAGATGCTTCGAGCATGTCTCGTGTGTACCTAAAGAAACTCCAATTCACAAAAGAAATGTCATCCAAGTAGAATAAATTAGAAGAGGACGAGATCCATTAAATTAATGACTCCATTGAGTTCAAAATTATTTGATTTCTTTAGAACTTTCAGGGTTGTAGAGCTAGAATGAATGGAGTGTCCAACAAATATTTATGTATCCGAACCAAGATTACTGAAAATAAGGCTTATCTTGTAGTATCTTCTAGTTGATACGTATCATGGATCATCAAACATGCATCCATTATATGCTACTATGCTAGACATAGCTACATCACACAACACACCAAAAATACCCCTAGTTATTTCTAAATAAGTTTATATATGTCACAACACTAATAAAGCAACCTCATGGACTTTTTAAAACAATGGTAAATATACTACAATTCTGTTACGGGGTTATTAATTTGACAATTTATTATTTACAACATTATTTGCAAGTTACAATTTTAATTTAGTTAAATTTTTATTATGAATTTTCATGACAGTTTTCGTTACTTTTTTTATGAATTTCCGTTACTTTTTTTATAATTTTTTTTATGGATTTGTATTGAGATTTACAGATCAAGAAACACCTTTCATGTGGTAAGCTTAAAAGTAAGTCAAACTTACATTTTAGTTACTTATTTGATCAAACATATTTTTCCACAAAGGCATGTTTCTTGAGGTTTAAAATGGTTTTCCACTTGCTTTGGTTTGTTTAAATAGAAAAATCCATCTTTCTACAGCAAGCAAAAATTCTCTCCAATTCTATAAGAACCAAACAATGCGTTAGACAATCCAAAGGATACACACAAAGAAAATATTAAAAAGAACAACAAATACAAAACCCTAGGTCGAGCATCGTATCAAATTCTGCACAGTGAGAATTCAAACAAGTAAACGTTGAACTAAAAATGAAATCTTTCAGAAAAAATCATAAAGCAGAAATCTTCGTATACACACAGTCATATCAACAATACAAAATCCTAGCCTTCGCACTAGAAAAAAAGATGCATTGTGGAAATTTGAAAGATTTTGATTATTCATTGAGATTTAATACTGATCAGCATGAAATTGATCGGATTAAAAGACACTTAAAAATAGATGAGAACAGATTTATACCTTATTGACTTCGATTGTTGATCGAGACTCGAAGAAGACGAAAGTCAGGCTGTTGAAGAAATTTATTCATGACAGGAAGTGTTGATTTTTCTTTCTTTAGGTGTTTTTATTATTTTCTCTTTCCTTTAAAAAAAAAAAAAAGGCACAAAACACCCCTAACCTTTGTCTATACTTTGGAATACACCTCTATCCTTTCATTTTGACAAAAATCCCTCCTAAATGACATTTTCATTACAAAATACAACATTTTCTTCCATTTTCTCAATAAATATTATGAAATAACTAATATTCCCTCCTCTTTAATAAAACAAAAAGAAACTCAAGAAATAAATAATTAATTGAAACTGTAGTCTCAATTTATTTTTTAAAAAAAAATACTAATGTGTACAAATAAATAATTAAAAAAATTAAATGAACGTATAAGTTACATTTTATATTTTATTTAAAAATATTAAATAAATGAAATTTTCACTATATTTTATTTCTTTATTTATAATATTATCGACGTATAAGTTAATTTTTATCTTCTATTTAATCTCCAATGAGCTTATTGTAATTAGTGTATATTACATATATGTAAATCAAATGGACGACGACAATATCATAAATTATGTTATTGATGATTATCAATGGTTCTTTTCTTGCTAATGATCGATTAAGAAACCACAGATGTTACTAACACAAACTTCTCTCTTTGAAATTCTTACGTTTTCTTAGTTCTAACATTAGACTTCACCAAACTTTATTTTATTTTTATTAGGATGGAGCCTATGAACCTGATTTTAAAAGCTACTATTCTCATCTTTTGGGGGGAGATTTTGCTATTTGGCCTATCACTATTCCTTTTCATAGATAAGTCTATATTGTCTTTAATGAAATTATCTTTTCTATATTGCAAAATATATCCTAATCTTTTAAACATTTTATCTCATATTTTCTCTGTTTTGAATATTTGAATATAATTTCATTCTATGATCTAATAAATTGAAATAATCTGTAATATATTGTTCACATTTATTATTTAATATATTATATTTTTCAGAAGATGCATCCATATTTTCTAATTGAGAAAACATATTTTTTATTACTTCTAACATTCTTTCTAATAAATTATCAAATCCTTTAATTGTATATCCTAGCATTTATAATCATCAAATCATGCAATTAATCCCTTTGATTCTCTAAAATCTAAAAAGATCAATTCTAATTTTAGTAAGAATTTAATAGTATTACCTTAGGTTTGATCTGGATCTTTATTTTTAGAACCGAGTGACCTTTGAGCTCTGAATATGTAAACTGCTTTCTTCAATGACCTCCTGCTTTCACGAAATCTTTACTATTTCAGCTTCTTGTCCTCATTGTATCAATTCTGAAGAATAAAATTCTAGACTTCTGTTAAATAAAAACTCTCTTTTTGCTAAAATAAGAAGGAAACTTTCTATTAGATCTTTCAAAAATATATGAAAATAAAGATTTAGAAACTCATATTGATATCAAAATATTGAAATTTTATTTCTATCAGAACTTTTACAAGATTTCTATTTGGTATGCAAAGATTTCCAGAAAAACTGGTTTTTCAAATTAAAGATGGCTTAAGAGTGGATATTGGTTACAATTCGAGATTTCAAGATGATTTCTATCAGTTACAATGCCTCTATTTAAACAAGTCTATGAGATCCTATTACATCATTGAATACATCAGCAAAGACACACTTCCCTCTCCATTATTTTTCTCCTTGGGCATACATCTTCACATTTTTCTTCGACTTTTTATCCAAAGAGCGTCTTTCTTTTATTTTCTATGTCTTTACATGCAGCTGTATTATTGTTCTCCACATAGCTTTGTCAAATGTGCTCTATTATTTTCTTCTTTCACATGCAGCTGTGATATTCCCTTAACTGGCAAGATTCTTTTATAGCAGTAGGACATTTTGAAAATTGACGTATTTCGAATTTTGTAATATAATCCTTTAGTATTTCTGATTTTCCATGTCCTTGATTTGATACCAGCATCCAGTTTTCATATTTGCACAAGCATGAGAATTTTTTGTCAAATTTTTTTTTGGCAATGTTGTATATGACTTTTTTGGTTGATGATACTGGGATGGAATCTATTTTTTTATTAGTTGGTATATTATTACGTCTAGGTCCATTGCTACTTCCAGCTGTCCCTGTTTGGTATTGATTTGGAAAACTCATTTATGAACTCTTTGGTATATCTATTTCAGACAATGTATCTTCTAGTTGAGCTACAATAGCATCAACTTGATTTTTGAGTTCTATGGCCTCTTTATGATATTCAATAGTAATATTCAGCAATATTTTTGTATTGGAGTTGAACGTCTCTGAGATCTGTGTTGTCCTAGTATTTATGTCTTCAGATTCTTCTTTAAGAAAATATGTCTTTTTTTGTATATGTAGGATATATTGGTATAAATCCATGACCATAATTTTATCCATCACCAAATTCTATGTTTCTGCTGAGAAAATCTGTAAGGAAATTATTAACTCCTTAATATGAACTATATCAAAATTATAAAATGTTAAATAAGCTTGTCATCTATGGAGCCTTCTGTATTGAGGTTCTGATGGTAATTTATTCCTGACTAATCCTACAACTTGAGAATTATCAGTTTCGATAATAAATTTCTTGGATAACAAAAATAATGAAAATTTTTTATTCCTCTAATAATTGCTAATAATTCTTTTTCATGAATGATATAATTTATTTCTACTTTATTAAAAGTTCCACTTGAATATATACAAATTTCATTTAAATCTGTTTTTAATATTGCTGTTCAATATTTATCTGAGGCATCAGTATTAACAATCAAATTATTTTTTTCATCTGATAATCTTAATTTTGATAAATTTTTACATCTTCTTTTAATGATTTATCTATTTCTGTATGTTTTTCATTCTATCCTTTAGTATTTATTTTCCTAAGTAAAATTTGTATTTTATGCCTTTTTTTTAGAAAGGTTTTTAATAAAATTTTCTGCATAATTTAAACATCCTTAAAAAAAAATTATTTGTTCTTTGGATTCTAATTTATCTGAAAAACTTTCTATCTTTTTATATATTTAAGTCTGTAATTTTATTCCTCTTTTATCTATTGATAAACCAAAAAAATCCATCTCTTATTTTTATATTATAGATTTCTTTTTAGAAAGTACAATTCCTTCTTTTTTACATTCGTTTATAAATTGTACTAAATGATTCATATGTTATTCTTTACTGTTAGAACAAATCAATATATCTATAATATCATAAAAGAGAGAATGACGGTGTACTGTTCATTTTTGTCACAGTCGTTTTCACACTTAACCGATTTGGAAATTGGTTTGGCAACAGAAAAAATTCTATTCAACAATACTGTTGGACTCTTTCTCCTAATTCTCACGCTATTAACTATCAACCATATCTTATATATTTAAAATTTTAAAATTATAGTAAATAAAATGTAAAAAAAAAAAAACATATTCACCGTGCATGGAGAAAAAATTTACGTCATACCACATAATTTTTCTGGAGTAAAATGATGTATTGAGAAAATTGTTGCGAAAAAAATAATAAATAGTAATAAAATAATTGATTTTTTTTAAAAGAAAAAAGATTTATACGCATTTTTAACACATATGTTTAACGTCCGTTTAACTATTTTTGATATTCATTTAGATCATTCGACGTGTCTATGATATAGTTCTTGAAATGAGTTTCGAGAGAATGTAAAATATTTATCGATTCGACTATCGTACAATCGTTAATGAATTTTTAAAGTTATTATCGAAATTTTCGAAATGTAGTTTGAAAATGTCTATTTTGACGTCCCGTAACATTTGCTACGATTAGCCGTTTCACGCACCGTTAACGACGTGCAATACTATGCCGCGAGTATTTCAAAATGATATAAAGAATGTAATATTTTGACTTCATTTGATATCACGTAACGAATCTGAAAATGAACATAAAAACATAAGCTAAAGAAAAAATAAAAAATAAAATAAAATAATTTACAAAAACCTCCGTGCACGGAGGTTTATAATCTCCGTGCACGGAGATTTATGCCTTTTTTTCTTTTATTTTTATTTGTAACATATTTTTTTATTAATATTTAATTTAAAAAATTAAATATATCTAAATAATTATTTAAAAATGTTGAAGTTAATATTTTTTACCTATAAATAACTTTTACAATTATAATTTTCTATTACTTTTAAATAACTTGAAGTGATTTGTTTACTTATAAGTAAATTTTTACGTTTTAGATAGTTTAATCTTTTTATTAATATTTAATTTTAAAAATTAATTATATTTAAATATTTATACTAAAAACATTTTAAGTTCACATTTTTTTTTTATATATATAAGTAGCTTTTGCAATTATAAGAGAAAGAGGGATTAATATATTTTTTTTTTTTACCTATAAATAGCTTTTACAATTATAAGTTTTTTATTTTAAATAACTTAAAGTGATTTTTTTACTTATAAATAATTTTTTTATCTTTTAGATAGTGTAATCTCTTCTTTTACTTTTAGATAACTTTATCGATTTTCTCACACACTATTATTCACTGTAATATTTCTCCCTTGATTTGAATCTAACACACCATACTCTTTCTCATAATTTTCACGCTATTAATTATCAACCATATCTTAGATATTTAAATTTTTAAAATTATATTAGTAAACAAAATTATATATATATATATATATATTCACTCTGTGCATAGAGAAAAAAATTTACGTCATACCACATAATTTTTTTTGAGCAAAATAATGTATTGAGAAAATTGTTACGAAAAAATAATAAATAGTAATAAAATAATTGATTTTTTTTAAAAGAAAAAAGATTTATACGCATTTTTAACACATATGTTTAACGTCCGTTTAACTATTTTTGATATTCATTTAGATCATTCGACGTGTCTATGATATAGTTCTTGAAATGAGTTTCGACAGAATATAAAATATTTAT